TTTTATTGCAACATCTTTCTTAGGCTGTTATTTTGACATGTCAATCTCAAATAGCTTACCTAGTAGCCAATCAGTTTCCTTGATTACTAGCAGGAAAAATTATGAACATTTATATTGTAGGGTAAAAATAGCAAAAAATTATGTTTATAATAGATTCCCACGCTTGTCATTATCTATACGTGCTATCAATCTCAGGTGGCATTCCAGCAAGCTGATTTTGCTGGTTGGAATCTATGGGCTGCAATCAATGACAGACCTCTGCTGCCGTTCAGGTTAAGATGTGAAGTTTCTAGATATGGATGCTTTGTCATACTATAGCGTGACCACGTTTTCATCTTTTCATAGTCTCTTTCAAATTATACATGTTGCTGTGACAACTCAGGCTTGAATCAAAAGGGGCTTATCCTCTGCTTGCAGAGGTAAAGCTGTGTATGGCTGACCTTTATGATGCCATGAAATGGTGGATGGCTTATGGACTTGTTTTCCCTTGATTTTCTATATGACTAAAGAACATAAGTTGACTACCAAGGTGTGCAATTGATGATAGAATACTGTGGTTATCACTTATGATAAGAATCCTAACAATCATAACGCACAAAAATTCTATAATGGATAAACATCTAAGTTGATAGAGAAAGTAATCATTGAGCCCATCTTGCATCGGAGGCTATCAATGCAGTGCTACTGGAAACCATCAGTACCATGATTATGGGTTCAGAATACCAATTATTGCCTGCTGGTAGAAGATGCTGTGTATGCAATCTAGTCAATTTTGACAATTCTGACAGCTTTAAGCGCTTGAGACATGCACGTAATTTCTTTTTGTTTTTCCCTATATCAGAAAGTTAAGTTACACAGACAGCATCTTTCTTCCTGTAGTCGTGGCCTGCAGTATCTTAAGTTGCTGAAGCTTGATTGCTATTCTTTCTCTAATAATGCTGATTAGAGTTCACATTACAGGTTTCAGAATTTAGGTGAGATGATGACTCTTGGGAGATATGATGGTGCTATTTCACCAAGCTTTATTGAGGGCCTAACGCTTGAAGGCCCTATTGGTCATACTGGTATGTCTAGTCCTTCGTTACCTTGACAGTTTTTGGCTCCCTACTCTTTCTATGATTGAGCTATGTTGTTTCACTGATATTGCAGCAAGAAAATTGGCATACTTAATAAGATTACCAACTGATGAGCACCGTGTAAAAGTGGGGTTTAGTTGGTTGGCAAAGACAGCAGTTGAGTCTGTTGCATTTTTGCAAGACAACCTCACAAAAGTAGTTTCAGGTTCATAGACTTGTGTATCTCTCTCTCTCTCTCTCTCTCTCTCTCTCTCTCTCTCTCTCGCTCTCTCTCTCTCTTTAATATCTGTTATTTAAGTTTTTGAACATTTATTGTAACATATGTAGCAAAAAGAAAGAGATTATCATGAAATAAAGGGACAAATATCAAGCTCTGATTTTAAACATTTTAGAAATTTATTTCTTTCCCCCTTTTCTCAATGTTTTAAAACTCAAACCGTTAATTGAACTGGTGAAGTTACCGGGTCGAGGCTCAATCGGTCGGACCGATTCAATTCCGGTTCAATAATTATACACACACACACCTGTGCTAAGGCTAAGATACTCCACAGATATCACATGATAAAAAGTTAAATATTTCTACACACACAAATTTTTAGAACTATAAATTTAACCAAATAAATTTATCTCAATTATACCTATCATTATAAAAATTTTAGACCCTTCACAAACCATCTAACATGCAATAATTTTCTGCTATAGAATATATAGATCACTCAAATATTGCATATAAGAAAATTCTTAATTACTAACTTGGTGCGCAATGCTTCTAATCTCCACTCTTGTTTGTGTGTGTCCACCACATATTATGGACTTAAAAATGTTCATCAAATCAAAAAACTGGTTTAGCGGTTTTGTGCATTTGCATGGTGATATTCATGATATATCAATTGTAGGATGCACAAGTAATTGGTTCATTGAAGACTTTAATTTAATTTAACATAATTGTTGTAGTAGTTGACAAATTTACATCTATACTAGAATTGTACTCCATCAATTTATACCAAATATTTGTACGAATTATATAATTGGATACCAACTTTTTTTTTACAACACAGGAAATATTTCAACTTTGACAGACTAATTTCCCTGTGCCCACCCCGCTTAAGGGGCAATTGGATACCAACTTGTTTATGCCCTTTTGTTGCTGGCAGGCCCTAGCGCCAAGACCAAGGCATGTCTCTATCAGGTTGGATCTATCAGGTTGGATCATTTGCTATTATACACCACCAGGCCACCCCAATGATAAAACTTAAAAAAAAAAAGTAAAAAAGAAAAAATAAAGAGTCAACAAACAGGTAGAGCTGAGAGAAAGTCGTCTACCAAATCAAAACGCTACACTATTGCAAAGCCAATTCCGATTCTGCAGGAAACAAAGTGCAAAAACGTTTGTTTGCTTTTGATGCCAAAATTCAAAGAGAGAGTTTTGGTACTGGAGAGTGGCGAAAGTGACATGCAGAATATAAAAAAAAAAAAACCTCTAAACAAAGGACCCAAAAGTCTCAGAAAGAAAACGTCACCAGCAAGGGAGCTAATTAGAATCTAATTAATAGCAAGATTAAACAATTGTAAGTTATATAATCATATTATTACAACGTTTAATAAAACACATCCCTCTTAAGCAATTCATCAAACAACTGGCGAGCCAACTTGAAACACTCATATTTCACTAAATAAATGTAATGCTTCTAGCCAGAGACCCAACAAAGACATCATCAATTGTTGAAGTTTCACAAGAAATAGAGTAAAATTGAATTTTTTTTCTCTGAAGCTTATATAACAGTGGATATATTTTAAAATCAACTCAAAATATTTAATTGAACCCATAATTCTAAGTTAAATAGGAAAAATACAGACCATAAAAAGCATATATACATCAACTAACCAACTAAGAGCAAAAAAAAAAAAAAAATGGAAAGAAAAGGTAAACTAACCTAGTAAATTGGTAATAGCTTGAAATTTTAGATTCTAACTATGTCGTGCGCTTCAACTTTTGTAAGAACAACTGGTGCTTCAACTTTTGAAATGAAAACAAAAAAAAATTGAAGTCTTTGGAGATTGAAGAAGAGAATTGAAATTGGGACTTTTGTCTTGAGAGTTGACTGAAAGAAGGAAACCAGAGAGAGCCAAAGAGGCTGCGATAGCAGTATTTGCTATTTGAAGAGAAAACTCTTTGGTTTAGGGTTGGTACTTAGCAGTTGACCGAAATAAGGAAGTCAAATGTTTTAAAAATAAAAAACTGTGGTTCATAGTTTTATACAATTTGAACGGTTTGAACGGTTTTTTTCGATTTTGATCGGTTCTTATGTCAGGTCAAACTAAGATATGAATCGGACCGGAGCTATGACCGGTTCGTGATTTGACCGGTCAAACCAGCCGGTCAGATGCAGTTTTTAAAACATTGCCTTTTCCCCTGTCTTTCGTTTGTGAATTCTTAATCAGCAGTCATTGTACATTCACTGAATATGCTATCAAATAGGTTGAGCTCATGGTTCAAAAAATTGGGTTTTGCTTTGTAAAATGGGAAAATTGTAGAAACCTCCCCTGAAACTACTGACAGTTGCACTGAGCTCCCCTCTAAGTTCTGAAATGGCAGATAGCACCCCTCAACAGGAACATTAAGTTGCAAAATCAGTCCAGGCAGCTTCAATTCCCATTAAAAAATTAGCTGTACAAGTGAGATAAAAAATTTGTTCCAAATTTGCCCTGATGTTAGTTGACAAGTAGTATTAACAAGGGAGGGGCTTTTTCATTAAGCACAAGGAAGTTCATGGGGTATAAATGCAACAACATGCTTCCAGATGATGACCTGCAACAACTTCATTTGCTGAGAAACCAACGGCTACTTAACGGCTAATTGATGTAACTAAGGCACTAGCTTATAAACGATGGTCAGTAGCAAAATGAATACCAGAATCTGGACTCATGTATGCAGCAGCAATTTTCTAGCTCAAAACACAGCTTGCTTGATACTCAGTTTGGCAGTTTCAAGTCATATTGCAGAAATCAGAAAATGGCTTCTTCCAGCCACAGGAGAACATCATGGAACTCTCCTACATCCTTCACAATACAAAACAAATATTGCTGGTGCAATAGAAAGGCAACATTGAAGATTTCTGAGTCTGAAAACAACCCCAACAAATTATACTTTTTTTGTGCAAAATGCAAGTACTTCCAGTGGTATGAGGGTCCAAAAGAAGAAGAGGTTAATAGTAGAAATTATGACACCAATTCAGTGCCACAATCGCACCTACAGCAACAAAGGTCTATGGCTGTTAGAAGGGAAATGCCAACTGTTCTGACAAGTGCAGTGGCTATACTTTTTATCATCAATCTCATACTTGTTGCTGTTTATGTTTTCATCCATATTGTGAAGTCAATAGGCTGATGCTATCCAGAAATGTACATTAGTGATGAAGTAGATATAGCTGCAGTTCGAATTTATATGTAAGACATAGGAGAGGAACAAGTTCCTTTCATCATGTATGCAGCAGCATTTGTAGTTTACAATATAAATGCAAACCAGAGTTCTGTTTATATCTACTGTCATCAATACAAAATCACTTGTTACCAACAATACAAAACAAAACAGTCACAGAAGCATACTTGTATTACAAGATTAATGCATTAATACAAGAAGTCTGATCAGAATTCAGTAATTTGAAGTACTACAAAAGTGAAACACAACAGGCAAGTAATAGCAGAGCATGACTGAGCAATCCACAAAAGGTTCAAAACACCATCTGAACCATTAAATCACTTAGAACAGATGGTGAGGATTGCAATGTCGTGAGAGGCAGAAACATGTCTAAAACTGCCACAGTAGAGTACAAAATAGCTCTGTTATGTACCTAATTAATGGCATACTACTGAGTTGATACTTTCAGCAGTAAGCATTCACTTGCCAAAACTATAGAGATAGTATCAGAATTGCATACTAAAACTGCTATTGTTGCTAACATTTGTTGAGTGCAGTGTTGTAGCTGCATTGATGGATTCAGATGCAGGTGTAGCAACTTGAAATGTAGCAATTTGCTGATGACCAGCTTGTTCCACAATTTGAGTGATCTGAGCAGTATTTGAGTAGTTTCTCTTGCTGCTCCCTCTAGCAGATGCTCCAGTATTGCTTAAAGGTCTTCCTCTCTGCACAATCACACATGTTGAACATTACACTCAAGCATTTTATTGAAGCATATCATAAAAGCTACTCATTCAACGGCACCTTTTTCTTTGAAGTGGTTGCTGTGCTCTGATTCTGCACATGCACATTCACAGTTGCAGGTGCAGGTTGAGTTGAAGGAGAAGGATTGCTGCCTTGGCTTGAGTGTACAACTGGAACATTGCCAGAGACATGATCCTAGCAGTAAACATTGACAAGTAATATTAGTTTCAACAAGGCATGTACTATAAATGTTACAATCAGAATCTTAAATAAGTTAACAAAATCTTACCCAAAGAGTTGCTCCTGACAGGCCCGTGTTTGCAGTCCCTCTTCCTGGTTTGCCTCTTCTATAGCTCTGTTGTTAAGGAACAAGCTAATTGTAAGTAATGAATTAATATAAAATAATCACATTCAGTAGCAATTGCAGCACATATAGCACTTGCTGGCCAGTAGTTCTGTTGCCATTCTTCTTATTCTGGACAGGTGCTCCTTGACATGACCTCTTGTTGTGACCAAAAGAGCCACAGTTTCCACACTTGATGTAGCAATGTCTTTTTGGTTGTGACACAGACTGTCCTTCATCATGTTCCCTTCTCTTTTTAGTCTTTGGTCTACCTGGAGCTCTCCTTAATGGAGGAGGCAGGACTATTACAGGTGTAACATATGGCATAGGTGGCCACATTTTCTCATCAGGAATTGGATGAATCATACTTGAATATGTCTTTAAGTACTTATCTCTTGAGAACCAATGCTCACAGTAGGATTCCAGCTTTTCTCTCTTGTAGATAATCCCTAGTGCAGCATGTTTACAAGGAAGGCCTGAAATTTGAAATGCTCCACAATCACAAGTTTTAGCTGATAAATTGACTATGTAGGACCTGTTCATATCCCCCACTTCAAATACATTAGTAGAAGCCATAGTGAGTTCACATTGTCTTGATGCTTGTCCTATTTTTTGTAGTTTACCAACCATCTTTGGTGTGATGGCAGTGGTGAGCATGCACCCTTTCTGATATCGCTTATGCATTTTCTTCATGAACTTCTTCCTCAGCCCATCAACAAGTGTCAAGATAGGCTTCCCTCTGAACTCACCTATCCATGCATTGAAGGACTCAGTGCAGTTATTTGTGACATGATCACATTTTAGTCCAGTATTGAAGGTATATCTGCACCATGTTGTTTTAGGAATTTTGTCCAAGTATTTTCATGTTTCTATGTTTAACTCCTTTATGCTAGCCATGGCTTCATTATGTCCTGCAACATCAAAGCTTTTTGCTGCTCTCCAGAACAAGTTACTAAGCAGAATACCAAGAAATTGAGCTTTAAAATTACTGCAGATATGCCTACAGCAATGTCTTCCACTAGCAACAGGCACTTTCTCTTCATAAGCTATATTCAAGCCCTGAAATGATCACCAAAACATGCAAACAAGTTACACTAAAAAATACATAATCATTGACAAGTACATAAGCATTCCAGAATCTGGATGCATAACAGAATCAGAATAATGTTCAAGGCCTGTTGTGAAGCTCACCTTTTGCCTGTCACTCATGAAGGTTAGAGGACCATGAAAACCACTTTCTGAAGTAAATGGCCCAAAAAACTCCTCAAAGTAATGAAAAAACCAACTCCAGGTTTCTTTATTTTCAGCTTCAGCCACAGCAAATGCAATAGGAAAAATGCTATTGTTAGCATCTAATGTGACTGTTGTGAGAAGCACACCACCATAAGCACCTTTTAAAAAACATCCATCAAAACCAACAAAAGGTCTACAGCCTTCAACAAATCCACTTCTTTGAGCTTTGAAACTAATAAACATTGTGAGAAATCTAGGCTCAACAAGAAGAGTAGGCCTATCATAATGTATTTTGCAGATACTTTGTGGGTTGTATTTCCTGATCAGCTCTGCATACTTTGGCAATTTGGCATACGATTCAATGTGATTGCCTTCAATCTCATTTCTTGCTTTAATTAGTGCTCTATACATCTGCCATTTGCTTGGATGCACACCATACTTAATCATCTCAGCTTCTACCCCTTTGGTGGACATGTTGGGGTGAATTCTCCTGACTAGAACTAGTTTCTTAGCAATCCAGTCAGCTGTAGCTTCTGTGTTCTTCCTGTCCATCACACATGTGTGTTCACCTTGATAAGTCTTAATCATAAAGGTCATGGAATCTAAAACTGGTGATGCATGGATTCTCCATTTGCATCCTTCAACACCACAAACAGCAGTGACTCTGCTATTCTCATTCTTCAGTCTCATAATTGGAAATCCTTTCTGAATTACATAGTCCTTTAAAGCTGCTCTAAATGCATCGACATTAGTAAATAGTTCACCTTTCTTAAACTCTATCTCTACTTTTGGGTTGTACGTCCACAGTTTTGATTTCAAAGCTTGCTGAACAGGGTCAGTTTCTTCTTCATTTTCAGAATAAGGAACTAAGGCACTCTCCTCAGTGTCATCAAAATCAGAAAATGACATGTCAGATTCACCACTATCGCTATGAACATCTAAATCTTTCTCATTGTCACTATCCATGCTGTGCAGCCAGCTTGAATCAGAGCTGGAATCACTATATTCACCCTCAGAATCATCAATGGCAACAACACATACCTTGTCCTTTTTCTCTTAAGTTCAAATCAGTGTTATGACCATTTTCATTTATCTGATTAGCTTTATAAGATGGAATAACATCCATATCCTGCACATGCACATTAATCATTCTTCCACACTTATGCATTTCGAACATTTCATGTACACTATCATCATCTGAAATATCAAACATACGATCTGTCTTAGGAATCTGACACCTCATATGTATTAACTTATTCAGATGCCCAGGGACTTCACCGAACACCTTCTCAGCAACATCAAATAGTAGATTAAGGTAACAGTAACCAATTGGATCGATATTTGGAATTTTCACTTGTTTCTCCTCATAGTGAACAGCTATATTATAAGTAGAAAAAAGAGCCATCCTAGGTTTCAAAAGTGACAGAAACTGAGCAATGTAAGTAGCAAATAGCAGACAACTGTATCTAGTTTAGACACTTATGTCTACACTGATGACTAGTCATGAACTCAAGACTATTGTAGCATTCACTGAGTTGATACAAGTCTTAAAAGATCGAAAAATAGATCATGATCAAAACATCCATTGATAAACATGTCTAAAACAACATGAATAGCAGAGTACAGCAGCTCGTCTAAAACCAGCTACAATATCATCATATTTGGCATTGATTATTACTGACAATAACATCACATTTGTTTCTGATCATTACTAACACATTCAACTCATAATGGAACAACAACCATGCATTCACATTCAACTCATAATGGAACAACAAACATGCATTCACTGCACTCAGTATTCAAAAACATGATCATACAAGAGCTAAAGTACAAATTTATTTACCTACTTCACTTCAGTTCTTGCAAATTGACTGCAGTTGATGCTCAAAATTGGTTCCTAGCTCACGGTCACATATGCTATTTATCTCTCACGGACAATCAGCCTCCCATGAACTAAGCCAGAGTTCCAATTTTCTTCTCTTATGTTTCCTTCTCTCAATGGTCAGAATTTTATCTGCAAGGCACACTCTCTTATGCTGCAAGTAGGCAGCTTGTCACCTTAAGAGCAACTTGTAACAAATTGGCGCCAATTCATGGCGCCATCTTCCTCAGCAATTGCCGCCCTGTTCTTCCCTCTAAAACTAGTCTCACACTAAAGCATACTCTTAATCAAAGCTGGACGGAGACTGCAGCTTGAGTTAGTTAGTTAGTTAATTAAGAAGTTAATTAACTAGTTACATAATTAGTTAAGCATCTAAAGTTAATTAGTTAATTATCTATTTATGTCAACAGATAATTAGTTAATTAATTAATTAGATTATTAGTTATTTAGTTATTTAGTTAAACTATGCATAAATAGTTAATTTAGTGTAAACTACAATTATCAAAATGACAAACGTTTTATTGGGTTTAAGTCATCACATTCTTTGGTAAAATTAAATTTCAGTGAGGGTATTTTAGTAAATTGACCATGAAGAATCTATTAAATTGTGTCCACCTTTTTTTAGGGAGGTGATTGCTATTTCAAAACTCATAGGGGAGGTCAATGCTATTACCATAAAACTCAGGGGAGGTTTCTGCAATTATCCCTTGTAAAATTGAGTATGAGGTGTGAAGCAATTCAACTGAAAAATTCTTCCATCTGTTGGCAGTTTATCATTCCTTAAGCTCGATTCCATAGTTTGTTCATTTGATAACATATTCGGGAAATTGACAAATTTGTTGTGTGATGGTTAATCGTAGAAATACATAGGAGTTTGACATCCAAACTCAAACGGTTAGTGGTAACATGTTTCAAAGGTTGTAGCTTATACTTCAGAAAATGAAAAGGAGGGGGGGATGGTTCATGGTGATGGCTAATCGAAAATACCCGAAAATTTTTTATATATCTTAATTATTATGGGTCATTTTTAATTAATTTTAAACGAAAGATATTTCGTTTACTTTCAAAAAAACAAAAAAGAAGCGTATTTCACGTTTATTTTTCTTTAGAAAAATTTGGAAGTTGGCAGCTTAGTAGCATAAAAATTTAAACTCTAGAAGTTGATATCAATGGACTTCAAAATTTAATTCGCAGTCACAACTTCAAAAGCTGTGTTTTATTTATCTTTTTTAAAAGATAAAACTATATTTTCAAGTTAAGCAACTTTCAAGAAACAATGTGTTAGGGATACTGTACAAAGCAACACATTATCCAAAAAAAAAAAAGAAGTAAATTTCAAGTATTGTATTGGCTTGTTTGTGAAATTCTGCGTATCATTGAAATTATAACCACTTTCCAATAAACAAGCATTTGCAGCCCAATTAAGCAATGGATGCTAGCAATCGTTTGAGGTTTAGTTATAGAATGGGCTTCCTTGTTTGACCCTCCATCCAATCAGAAAAACAAACTATGGACAAAATTAAGTCAAATAAATATGAAATAGAACAGAGCATCTGATGAAGCTCACACTCAACATGGTCTGCAGTGGAGCTTTTGTATGATGTTTTATAGTTAAAAAAATTTATTGCCAGCAAAAGTTCACTTTTACCTTAGAAGTTTTATTGCAATGTTACTTTAAGGGTAATTACAGCATATCTACTAATACCAACTTCTTGGGGCTTATTTTGTAGTAAAATGATATGAATTAGTGGTGAAAATACTAATTTAGAAAGTTCTATAATAGTACTTAGTCCTAGCATTCAACATTCCTTGGTAAGGAGAAATAGAGTCATTTTCTTTTATTGTATTTGACAACGTGATACACTTCATTGTGAGTTAAACACAAAATTGGAATGAAATTATATCATTTTAAAAGTAGATTTTATTTTTCAACTAAATTTAACAAGATAAGGCAATCTACTTACAAAATACGAATCATGGTACGTAACGATGCCCTCTTTAGTTGCGTTAAGCAAAAATTGAGTGTTTCATGATTCTAATCACGATAGTTTAATGCAAATTCAAGGTGGATATTCCACCATTTCAAATTTGAATGGTGGAGATTGTATTTTGGACTATCCACAAAAGTTGGCAAGCCCCTTACATGAACAATGCCTATAGACAAATGAGTGTGTTAGTATCTATAGTTGTTCTCTCTCCCTTTCTCTCTCTCTAGGTAGAATAAAAGTTTGAGTGAGTTCGATTTCGATCACCACTCGAAATCTATAGTTCAATTGGTGATTTTGTTAGATGTGATTGGTTTAATCAACGCTTAATAGAGCGATTTTCACCAAGAATACAAAAGAAACAATTTCATTCCTTTTATTCCCACGTCCATGTTTCAAGTCAATTGATGGATAATTTGTATAACAAAGAGCGAATTACACTATACAGCACCATCGTTACTTAAATGTCTTGTAATCGGTAGCTCAATTGGTGATTCAGTTAGATGTGATTAGTTCGATCAATGCTTACTATCACAATTTCACCAGGATTACACGAGTAATAATCTCATTGCTTTTCACTTTAATCCTCATTTCAAGTCAATTGATGTTACAAATTGTGAAGTATCCTATACATTACCTTTCATTACTTAACGTCTCATAATCGATAGCTTAATTAGTGATTCGGTTATATGTGATTGGTTCTCGATCAATGCTTACTATTGCAGTTTCACCAAGATAACATGGGTAATAATTTCATTCCCTTTCACTTTAGTCCTTGTTTCAAGTCAATTGACGGATAATTTGTGTTACAAGTGAATTACCCTATGCATTACCTTTCATTACTTAAACATTTGTAATCTGTAGCTCAATCAATGATTCTGTTATATGTGATCGATTTGATCAATGGTTACTGTTGCCGTTTCACCACGAGAAATAATTTCATTCCAATTGTTTTCGCACCCTCGTTTCAAGTCAATCAATGAATAATTTGTATTACAAATAGTGAATTACTGGCCCTCAATACCTTTCATTACTTAAACGTCTCATAATCCGACAAGGATGCCAATTGAAGCTAATGGCAGTGTTTGTTAATTTCAATTCAAATCTGCTTCACAATATACTTCATATACATACACACACACACACACACATATATATGCACATTTATACACCCACACACATTTATATTTGCGTATATATCTTTTCATTCACCACTTGTATTCTCATTGTAATTACAACTTCCACTTCAATTATGACCACACAATAATGTCCGTTTGTTTTATGAGATTATCTTATATTGATTAACGTCTTTCTATCTATATATAAAGCAAGAGGCATGACCTTTGGTGTTAATTTTTTTTTTTATTCTTTCTATATCAATTTTACCCTCATGTAAGCAATGATTTACACGTAATTACCACAAACAAAAATTTGGCAATTATTAAATTTCAATAACTTTCAACAACTTCTGCTATTTTAATAACCTCCAACGACTTCTACTATTTTAATTTTCCACATCTTCTTCTTCTTCTTTTTTTTTTTCAAAGATTAGACTTCTAATTACTAGTATTCTTTCATTATAAAGAAACTATTTGTCTGGTGTGCACACCCATCGATGTGCTTTTTCCACTAGTTGTATTTTTCTCGAAAACCGATAGAAACACACACACCAGTTAGATTAGAAACACTAAGGAGTCATCGTCAAATTGAGTCAGAAACTAATCTAAGTGAGACCTACTACGAAACCCTGTTCAACTAATTGGTGACAGAACAAGGCCCCATTGGACCTTAAACCCAGGTTGAAGAACCCACAATCTTTCGATGTGGGACGGAAGCCCCATCCCCCACCCCTCCCGAGCGCACCCTCACCAAATAAATGGTTTGCTTTTTCTCGGAAACCGATAGAAACACACACACCCAGTTAGATTAAAAACACTCAGGAGTCATTGCCACTAGTTGTATACATTGCCATTTTACAGCATAATTGACCATTCTTTTTCCTCCTGGCTAGCCCTCCTGTTATGCTGTTACTACCTTTTTTTTTCCCCGGCCATTTCATTCGTTTCAGCCACATTCTGCTTCTTTTTTCACCATCAACATTTTCTGCTACATGACTGGCAACAAAAACACATTATGTATAAGAATCAGAAAAGAAGAACAAACAAAAAGACAAGTGAAACCACCATTGCGTAATTTCACACGCTGGATAAATGAATCCACAAAAGGTCCTGAAGCATGCAATGTACTCCAGGTAGAACAAATTAAATGAACTTAAATGATTTTCTTGCTATGAATTTAGTATCATGTTATGTGGAACACTTTCCTTTTCAGCATTTTAAAAGTACTAATGAGGAATCCTCACATTTGTGAGGTTTGTTTCAATGGCTCAATTCTCTACCCATGCTGTCACGCATCAAAGTAGAATAAGAGAGAAAAAACCTACCCAAAAACCATTTCGAGCTTCTGCATTAGGAACTACCTATGATTGCCGTAACCACCAAAATGTGCAGGGCAAGGTAGTCTCCTGACAGGTAATGGACAGCCCTTTCACCACCAAACTCATGAAAGCAAACAGAGATGATACAAACTGCGTTACACTCCAATTTTATCAAACAAATTAACTCTCATAGGTCAAATAATTTGCGGCTTCATTTCCATAGGGATCTTTCTTCAGTGGAGCACAAACAACACAGGCCTCATAAACTTATCTGCATGCTTCTGATTCCCATTGCTAAGATTACTGCCATATTTAGGAGTCAAGAATGTCAATGGATAAAAGGGGATGCAAACTTTGACTAGCTCTTTCAACATGGGTTTGAAATTTACAAGAAGAAAAGGCGCCGATCATTCCTCCTGCCTCAGGAACAAGGAAGAAATTATATTGTAAACAAGGATAACCATTTTTTTTCTTTTAAAGGATAACTTAACAACCAATCCAAGAATATAACAATGGAACCATTAAACAAGCAAACAATTAGAGTCTGTCCTGAGGCCGTTCTCCAATAACAATGCAATGAATGGGGTAAGGCAATGTATATGTAGAACCACAGTTGCAAACCAGCTGCACAACAGATAAAACAAACACAAACTTATTTGAGCATCAAAATATTGCTAAGCTAAGAAAATAAAGGTTGTCATACCTAGTTCCACAATTTAACAACCAACAAGGTGGAAAGCCAGAATTGTCCCAATTGAAAAGTTCAACAGATTCCTAATAATGGAGAAGTAACTAGCATGGATATGCCAAAACTATGGCAAGGGGCAAGGTAAGACTCCATGAATAACATTTCAAGATATGTTAACCAAAAGTGACTCACTTTTTCTCACTGGTGGAGAACTTCTGAGAATGGACCATGATTAACTAATGAAAATGCACAAAAGCTCCTTACTCACAGCAGACAATTGGCAGATATTTGGAGGCCCTTGAACTTTAACTTGTGCTCAGATCTCCGGTACGATCTATTTGTTAAAATTTCAGAACTAGAAGATAGAGGATAAAGAGATATCGTAAGGTTCTAGAAGATCAGCATATAAATATATACTATCACATTACTAACATCAATTTTGAAGCTAATGAAATAATCAAATAAATTCGGAAATAGTAGATTCAACTTATTAAAAAGCTAAATACCATCATGAAAAGCTGTTAATGCAAACGAAACAAAGGATCTAAATGGCTTTCTGTAACCAGCTAGAGAGGAAAGTTCATTAGATTTTGGAAGATTTTACTGGATGTGCTACCTAGGGTGCACATAAAAATTCATTACAAAAATTCAGTACCTATTGCTCAGGATTTTAACATAGTAGCATAAAGACTTAATAGTTGACACACAGGATGAACGCCAAGGGTATGCTTAACAAATGCAAGTTGGAAAGGAAGTGGTGTTCTTTCCCCTTTTAAGTTTCCCTACTATGGTGTTCTTTATCCACTGTGGACTAATGAGTAGTTGAATATGTGCAATTTGGTTATCTTGAGAAGGGGATTTATTTATTTTGGGATTCCTATCATTTATGCATGTTTCACAATGAACCATTTCATCCTTGCAAACTTATTTGGTTTACAGAAGATTCTTGACATTATTTTCAAGAGAAAGGTGCCCTTTTTGTTTCTTCCACTGATATGCTTGTAAATGTCTTATATCTGGCATTTAGATACTAAAGCTTTTTGGAATCAGAAGGTTCAGAAACTTTTTCAAAACAACAATTTGCTTCACTTATTAATTTTGTATAACCAAAGGGGACATAAATCATAGTTCCTTTCTCTGTTTCAAAAGGAAACACGAAACAAGAATGGTAAACAAGGTGACAAGAGATTGTGTCCTCTGCTTGCTTTCTATCTCCAATATTAGCATGTGTTCTCCTCAGTCAACCTATACAGAAGAAACTAAGTTGCACTGCAGAATTTGATTTCTATAGAACCTTTCTCTGTAAGACACAGTAAAACTACTATATATAGAGCTTACTTTCAACAACTTTTGAATATTAAAGAAAAGATTATTGAACTTAAAACATGAAAAGTTACATTATCACCAAACCATGAAGATGAATAAAGATTAAGGTATACCAATCAACTGGTGAAATCAGCTAACACAAGATGTGCAAGAAGTTTCTCCATCTCAATCTACAAGTGAAAGAGGACAGTAATCATTAACCAAAACAAAACTCACATGTACATCTACCAGCACCATGAATTGGCGTATTCATTTACCTCAGTGTTATGCAGATCATTATATTCTGGGTAGAGAAGGATCTGTAGGATCATTAACACCATAATATGTGAAAGTTAATAAATTAAATAATAGCTTCTACAGAGATTGGGGAACTTAGGCCGCTTTCTTATAAAGGCGGTAAGCATTCCAATGGTGCAGATGCCCAAGGTGTGATCAGAAGAAACACCTTGTCCAAGCAAACCATTAATTTCCTAGCAGATAAAGGATTCTGTGATACAAGAGCGGTGCTCATGTTAATAAGGAGTACAGCTCCCAAACTTTTCTCAATTTCACTAGTGGGGACAACAATGGTGTCCATCAGCTTCGCAGAAGGTCCATCTACTTCATCCATGATGTTGCCTTAACCAACTTTTAGAGTTTACGGAGATGGAATTAAGTAAATAAAAAAGATACCTACTGTAATCACAATATAATATTATTGAAACAAAAAGGTATAAGACATCAAATCTCAATCCACACCAACTTGCAGAAGAACGAAACCTTAACAATATCCTGACCAGAATACATAGCAAGTTGCAAAAGTTCAATAGGCACAAACAATTAAATATCTGCACAAACACCATGACAAATTATCAAAGGTCCCTCATACACTAAATGCCTGCTGAAACCAGGAATTCCAAGGATGGTTGGACAAGGTGATAAACATTGTATAGAAGGTTACAGCCAAATAATCAGCGGCAGACAATGTCACCAAGACTGAGTCAGATAACAGCAGAGACATCCTATGTTCAATTTGTGAAGCTTTAGCATGAAGGATGCAGCTAGACAATCTTCAAAAGTGACCATGAAAATTAGTTTCAGATATCAAGATATCATTATTTTCTCATAACATAAAGAAATAGAATTTCTATAAATAATGGATAAGCATCAAGATAAAATATGCTTTATCACATACCAACATGCAGACACAGCACACCAGAAAAAGTCAGAAACGCCCTATAGCACCAAAATGTTACCAAAAAGAGAAGATAAACACCCAATCAATGAATACAGGCTTCAAATAATTGCATTAGTCAGATGTCACTTAAAGGTGAAAAAAGTCTAAAAAACCAAAACCATCACTTCAAGCAACCTACCAGGGGACTTAGCTAATTCGACTAACCTTCAGTTCTAGATTGTTTAGCTAATTCGTACATGCTCCAAAGTTTCTATCCCACCAAAAACTCACCCCACGGGACACTCGTACACCACAGGTAAATTATGACACAACTAAGCAGCAGGTTAAAGAACATTGATCATTCAGATTAGTCAGAAGTAGCAGTAGGCTGCACTTATTGCCCCACACTTCAAAGGGGAAAAAAAGTGTGCATATCTCTTATGGGATGTAAAGCCACCTCTTAGACAAAGGATCTACACCACAGTCTCATACTTTTACATTGCAATACTTCAAATAATAAGTCAGAAAGATATTAATGTGGATAAAGTACCTGGACAAACCACAAAGCTATGCATCATATTCACAAACTTTTCAAAATTTGACTGCATCTCCTCCAGCCACAAAGTATCTATAGAGAATAAAAATCTAGTGCGACGTCTACAGCAACACTATCTGATGTTGATTTGAAAATAAGTAAAATAAATGTAGATAAAGCATCTTGACAAACCTACAGAACAAAATTAAAATGAAACATTGAGAAATGGATCAAATTTACAAGCCAAGGAACAGTATATATGCTTTTGGTTCACATGAATATTCATTTAGACAAGAACTATCACCATAAATTAGAAACTGACACTCCTCATGGTTCCCCTGTAGGAAGTCAATAGGACCACTAGTCTCCGCTAATGTAATCAAAATGTCATATAGGTTAAAAATGTTAACATTGATATTCAAATATTTCTTGATTTCCAATAATTACAAAAACTTTCATGCAACCGCTTTGTACAATTTAACATAATTAATAATTCTAAGACCCAATAAAAGTTGCTGCCAAAAAAAAAAAAAAAACAAACACACACACTCTAAAATTACCACTTGGCAAGTGTAGGTCTATAAGTATATATCGGTCTATCATACTATGTCTTACACTGAATTTGAACAGCTTGAGATACCCGTCACTAGCAAGCTAATTCGCAGTCAACCTCACTGCAAATTATTACCCATTGAAGGGAGCAGATACCTCATCTACCATTCCCAATCACAATCTTTAACTTTGAAAAGAAATTAAGACAAATCAGACAACCTATAAACTCGAAGACATAAAATTGGATATAATTATGCAACATGTGTACCGTTGGGCTTCAACTATTTCAAAACAGTAAATTAATGTCATAGGATTGACCTTTCATCCACCGTGTGCATAGCAAGAACCTCTAATGGAATCAAGAAAAGAATTTCCAATTTGTATTAACATGGGCAGATTAAAGTATTCTAAATACACCAGAACAAAAGACAAAGGTCAATATCTCTTGTCATTAACTGACTATTTGCGTAACCCTTAGTTTCTCAAGTTTTTTTGCCAATGTCAGCACTGTATCTTCCTTCCCCTCATCAAGAAGAGCTTGCTTTAAGTTCTTAAACATTGGAGTTGGAGGTCTAATTCCCATATCTAACATCTGCTGAAAATATCTGCAGGCATCTTCCAATTTATTCTCATGGGACAAACTGTTAATCAATGATGAGAACATATGCATCCCAGGAAGGAATCCCTTAGCCTTCATCTGATTCCACACCCTCAAAGCCATATCTGTCCGCTCCTCATTGCAGAACATTCGCACCATAATCTCATATGTGCTAATAGTTGGCTCGCATCCTGGTTCATCATTCATTTTCTGGAAAACAGCATATGCTTCTTGTGTTCTATGAGCCTTAATAAGATGATGAAGTATTATATCATAAGTTCGTGAATTAGGACCAACACCACATATCCTCATCTCATCAACAATCCGGTAAGCATTATGGATTCGCATTGACCAACAATACGCCCCCACAACTGCATTGTACGTGGGTGCTTCAAGAGCATGACCACTAGTCTTGGCCAGTTCAAAAAACTTGAGGGCCTCACTCAACCTTTTCTCTGATCCCAAAGCATTGATCAAAGTACAGTATATATGAGGAGTTGCTTTAATGCCCTTCCTCTCCATTTCATGATACTTTTCAACTGCTTCATGATAGTTTTTAGCCTTGCAATAAGCATGGATCATAATACCATAACTTACAACATCTGGTGCAAAACCATCATCTCTCATTTCACGACAAACTTCATTTAATCTCAACAAATTCTGCTCTTGGCCCCACCCTTCCAACAATATGGTATATGACTTAATATCAGGCTTAAACCTTTTATTCTTCCATTCGTCAAACACCTGCTGTGCCTTCTCCGGATGCCTGGACTTGCATAAAGTATCAATCAATCTGTTATAGTCTTGCAATTCTGGCCTCAGCCCAAATTTTTCCATACTCTCAAATGCATCAATGGCCTCTTTAACTTTCCGAGCTCGGGCATAGCGGCGTGAAATTAGGGCAAGAGAGTCTTTTGACAGCATGCCTTGTTGCCTCATTTCCTCGACTAGTTTCCATACCATTTTAAACTGTTTGACTTTTCCCAGGGATTCAATTAAAGTATTGTAGCTCGCTGAGGTGTGCTTGATTCCTTTTTGCTTCTCGGCCCACCTAAAAAAAGATAAAGCCAACAAACCAGCGTTGCTGAGCTTCTTCAAAACTTCTTGCACCAACAATTGAGTGATCTTTATTTCAACTGAAGCAGATTTCATAGCAGAGTCAACATTTCCTGAGCCATTATGGTTGGACAATATTTGGCAGATTCTATCAGTTTGTTTGGCAATTTGGAGGCCGTTTACATCCTGGATAGGCATTGCATTCTCATGAATTGACCTGTAGAAGTAAAGACAAATGCACTTAAAATGAGGTTTCAAGAAAAACCCAATTGAATTAGGGGATAGTTTTCAGAAGACTTATACATTTTGCTACTGATTTCATTTGATAGGTTTTAGGAGGTTTAACTCAGAATCAACCCTCTTGCTTCTCCATTGTCTTTCTTCTTCTTTTGGAATTTAGCTTAAAGGAAAAAAAAACAATTAAATGAATGAACTTGCATGACAGATTCAATAGGGTATACTCCAAATCCGGAAGCTACACTACTGTTAGTTCAGATTATGAAGAAGCTAAGAGAAGAGAAATTGACAAAGACAGAGGGGGAAGACAAGGGATAGAATCGAGCAGAATGATTTTCAGTCACAAGGATTGAAACTGTAATGCAAAGCCTGTGGGGAGGAGGTTGAAACAATTTGCCATACGCTTCTGACAAGTTCTGAAGCTGCGAAGGTGTGGATAGTGGCACTAGTACAGTGGATGGGTCTCAGAGATGTACAGCATAACTCATGGACTGGTGGGAAAAGCTAAAGGAAGTAAGTAAACAAAGCGCAGGTAGAAATAGGATGCACGTGACTCTCATAGTTTTGTGGTAAATCTGAAAAGGGAGGAACAAACTCTTTATTGAAGATGAGATTATAAGAAGACTATTCAGAAAGCTGGCCAGGACTGGATTGAATTTAATCAGATTAATAAGCGGGTTGCCAGACTACAAAGGAAAACTGGGAACCTCCAGCAATACGTATTATAAGGATCAATGTAGCTGCAATAGTTGAACCCCACCTTAACATAGGCATGGTAGCCAGAGATCCTAAATGAGAGATCATTGTAGCTCGGGTGACAGGCAGTACAAAGAGCTCTATCAAAATTCAGGAAGCAGGAAAAATTACGAATGGAATCACTAAAACTCAGGGGACGGCAGGAGCAGAATTCATATTCAACCTAGCTGCAAACCAGTTGTTGATAAGCTTGAAGAAGGTCAAGTTTTGGATGTGACGCCAGCAACATAGTCTAAGTTCTGTGTTTTCTAAATATTCCTTATTCTTTTTAAAGAAGAAGAAACTGGCAATACAATTAACCATCATATGTGATTCCCTGTATCTACAAGAGTTAGCATAGGTTGATATTGGACAGCCACCCAGTTTGTTTTAAGTTTATATTGGCTAATAAAATTATAACTTTTCAAGGGGGAAAAATGAACGGACAAAAATTCTTCTTCTACATGCACCTTCAATTTCCTTCTCCCATAGAAGAGCATTTAGTATAAATAGCGATCTTGAAAACTGAAATGGGTTAAACATCCAAGTTATAAACTAATTATGATGTAGAAGCAGTGTGTCATTACTGACAAGATCAAGCCTCTAAAGATCCAATATCATTAAAAAATACAGGGAAAAAAGCTAAAGCGTTCAATTCAGGCCTTTTAAATTTTAGGTAAAGATCAAAATATATACGTTAATGGTCCAGCTAGCAGTTCAACTTCTCGAAGTTAAACTTTCAATCATTTATTGCTTTGTACTTATAAAAGGAAATTATGTTTACAGATTTTTCGTGTCATTCTCTATCTCACTCATCAGCCAGAAAATTCACAAACTTTCCTCAACTTTCAAAACCATGCCCAAGATGCATTCTCAGAGGGGGCCAATATTTCAAGCGCTTATTGGATTTGCTTGACAATCTCTTTGGTGGGATGTACTCGTTCTGAAGAGCATATAAAATGTTCATCAGGAAATACTAATTACACAATGTCTAATGCTTATGGATCATTTCCTGATCAAAGCATTTGTCCTGCAGCTGAAGCATCCCGCCCAAGAACAGAAGAATAGCTCATTTCAGTAGTAGCATATCCAAGAATGCTAAAGAAGAAGATGAAACTTGTAACTACAACATCACATAATCTTGCTAAAAAAATGAAATTGCAAGAAACTTATATCAGAATTAAAGCCCTCTTCAACCCAGGTGACTTCTCTTTGTTTCTCAATTCTTGCTACCATATTGGGCAGAATCAAACCATAAACCAAAATCCAAAATGAGCTCTCTTGGTTGTGAAATTTCAGGAATTTATAAAGAAACAAAAACGAAATGGTAAAAAAAGGGGCCCCCCCGGGTGGTTAGGAAACTTTACCAGGAGCTTTTAGTAAGGGAAGTGGCAGGTTCTGAGGGTGACTGGGGCTTCAGGGATTGGTAGTAGGCCAGTTGGAGGAAGGGTGCAGCGTGGCGGCAGTGGCTCCGGCGGATGGTGGCCAGGAGGTGTTTCATGGCGGAGCTGCGATTGAAGTCAGGGCGAATTAGCTAATGTGACAGGGTTTTGGGTTTTAGTCAAACAATTCGGCTCAAACTCGCTAAAATGGTGTCACGACTTCAGGAAGGAAACGTGTTGCTTATGTGTCTATCAAAAAAAGTCAGGTGGATAGTTTTTGAGGTGTTTTTAAAAAATTTTACGTGTATTACATGAAAAACTCAGTAAAACCAGAGATGGGCTTAAAATGAAGATAAATCTAATTAAGTTTTTCTTTTCGTTAGATTAATCAGTTTTTTCTTTTTCTGTATTTGTCACATAAATCTAATTGAGTTGTTTTATATTCTTAGACCAAGTTGAATACTTGAATATCGTACTATTTTTTTTTCCTTTTTATTAACATAGTAATTAGTCTAGTTAGTAAATAATCATGTTTTTTTAAATAATCATGTCATATACATATACTTCAAAAAAAAATTCCGGTTTCACATATTTTAAAAATTCTGAAAAATTCTCATATTTTTTTAATTAACTGTATAAAACAAGTAATAAAATTTTTTAGTATTAAATTTCATAATTCTGTCATAATTACTCTGGATTTATATATAGTAAAATAGAGAGGTGGTACAATTTTAATGAATCTAACATCTCGTACACAACAATAAGAGTTAAATTAGTGTCAATATAGCATAACCTTGGTATATTATAGTAACTTTATCTATATTTTAAATTTACTATCTTTCAAATATGTTCGTGCTATTCATGTACAAAATTTATCTGCATAATTTTGCCGAACTCCTATTTTCATGCCAACCTTTTAATTGTCTTTTGGGGGGGAAAATTCATACAATATGTGTACATGTAATGTCTTGTATTTTATCCATCCCGAATTTTACTAATTATACTAATCAATGAGGACTCCTTTGTATAATTTGGTCAATCACACTTGCTAAATTTATTTTTTTCTCAATTAAAAAGGTCACTAATAAAATACCAAATTGTATGGTGAAATTACACATGAGAGAAAAGACTTTGCTACTGCTTAATTTTATATGAAAGTTGTAAAATGTGCCACTCTTAAACCAATTCACACTGTCTCTTAAACCAATATTGAGCAACTCACGGTTTGCTCTAATTGGATCAAGGAGACAAATTAGATTGCAAATCCTAAACAAGAGGAAAATTCAAGCCTTCAAGAATGCAAATTTAGGACCAAATTATCCTCAAATCTGATTTTGACTTTCTTGAAGCAAAAAAATTAAAAAAAAATTGATTTACATTTGTGATTGTATTTCAATTCATTTGTATTGCCAAAGTGATAGTCATGAAGGACCGATCAAAATGGAGACAATGTTTGAAAATGATAGAAAAAGGCTAGTATAAATAGTTACTTCCCCAAAACTCAAATTTAACTCAATAGAAGGATACTACAAATTGGGCAATCTTGACTTGCAAATACCGCGCGGCAGAGGTGGGAATAGGATGCCATGCTCTTTCTATGGTTTATTGAAGGTAAAAAAAAAACCTCAAGATTCACAAATTTAAGTGTCTTTATAGTACACAAAAACAAGATAGATTGTCCAAAAGGACAAGTACCCGTTTTACAAAAATATGCTAAGAAGTCCTTTGGTTTTAAAATGAATATGTGGCTGTTGAGAAAAATATAATACGAAATAGATCAAGGAAAAATTTGCTTTTTTAAATTTAAAGGATATTGTATAAGACACAAAGGTATACTAGAGAGCGCGTAAAAGATCGGACACAAATCCTGTTTAAAAAATTTCTATTGCTTTGCAGACTTGGTATTAAAAAAGAGATCAAGTTGTTTTTGGTAAGAAATCGAGTAAAACAAAATTCAATGAAACTTTTTTTTTTATATAAAAGCAAATTTCATTAACATATTGCTAGAAATCATCCAACATGATTTGATATGATTTACATCACTATACTAATGGCAGGTTAAACATGCTCTAAAGATTATAGATCTGAATAATTATCAACAAATATGAAAAATATAAGAAATTTCACAATTGTCTTCTAATAGATAAATCACTATGACACTTTTTTACGCATGTTTTTTTTTTCAAAACGTTAGAGTACTTGCATTGATCTATAAAAAGGCTTTACATTTCGAGCAAATGCTTGATAAATGTACAACTCATATTCAGTAACATGGAGGAAAGAAACCTTCGTCATCCAACAAAATGCCTAAGGCATATGAGCTAACATTAGCACTAATATCATTATCATCATTATTATCTAAGCAGAAAGAGCACATTCGAAACAATGACTTTAAGTTTAATATATCCTCAAGGATCGTTGTCAATCTGCAATCAGAAGATTTACCATTCGTGATTTGCCTCAACAAGTCCTTGTTTTGGATTTGGATTCTGATGTTGCTCCATGGTCTTTCCAATGCTTTGCATAAGACCAGTTTGACTGCTGAAGCTACATCAATATTCTTATTCCCATAGCTTCTGTCTTTTAATGCCCAAAAATTTGTAGCGCCATTTGTCCTCCTTTTGACAGCAACTCCAATTCCCAGCAATGTAGGCCTTGTTAAGCTTGTTGTTGCCACTCTCAAAGTTATCAAATCCTGGTCCTCTTGTACATGATATTCCCCATCCAGTTCTGGCATTGTTTCTGCTGTGCTCTAATCAATTTTCTTAGTAGCTACTTCCTCCAACTCCAACCATTCTTTGTATGCTTTTTGAATAACACTGCAAGGTTGATAGCTGACTTGGTTCTCAAATTTTCTCTTGTTCCTTTCTTTCCAAATCTGCCATAGAATATTAGCAGTGAGATCGATATGGCTTTTACCCTCTTGCTTTATTTTAGCCTCTGTAATCCTGCTCCACCATCTTTGAAAGCTGCCTATCTGATTTTTTGCTCCATCCCATGTTATTGGAGCTACTTCCCAGACCTCTTTTGCTAGGGGGCATTGCAACAGTGTGTGTTCTATTGTTTCTGGATCCTCTCCACATCCTTTACACACTGGATCCCCAATTGCTGCTTTCCTGTAGATTGCCTCCCTGACTGGTAGAGCTCCATTGACACACTTCCAGATGAACATCTTAATTTTGTGTTTGGTGTTGAGCTTCTACAGTGTATTCTAAATTTACCTGCTTTGTTTACTACCTGCATCAAAACTTGTTCCAGCAGTCTCCTTTCCTTTGTTTATGCCTGAACTCTCTTCTATTAACCTCTTGTAACCAGATCTCACCGTGTATTCTCCTCCTTCACTGTGTTTCCAGTAGTTGGAATCTTCTCTGCCTGTTAGACTAATTGGAATACTAAGGATCCTTTCTGCATCAGTCTTGTTGAAAAGTCTAAAGATCACATTTGTGTTCTATCTGCTGTGGTTGATTAGCTGTTGTATTGATTCAAACTCACAGTTTTGGGATCTGGGGGTTGTAGGCTTACTAGATGGAGAAGCTGGTATCCACTTATGTTTCCATATGTTAGTGCTTCTCCCATTACCAATCCTCCTCATTACTCCTTCTTCAACAAGACCTTTGACTTCCATCAGGCCTTTCCAAAACCAAGAAGCACCGCCCTGAGTTTTGCATGTGAAAATTGATTTCTTTGGGAAATGCTTGGCTTTCAATACTTTGTTGACTAGGAGATTTGGTTTGGTGATTAATCTCCAAACCTGTTTTCCTAACAGAGCTTTGTTAAAAGCTTCTAGGTCCTTGAATCTCAAACTTCCTTCCTTTCTCTCCTGAGCCATTCTCCTCCAAGAGGTCCAGTGCATCTTGTTTTTGCCAATAGTTTCCCCCTACCAGTAATTTGACATAGCTGAGTTGAGATCCTTGAGGAGTTTTCTAGGCAGTTTGAAGCATGACATAACATAGGTTGGCATGCCCATTGTGACTGCTTTGAGCATGACTTCCTTTCCAGCAGGACTTAGAAATTTTTTCTTCCAGCTATCTAGTCTCCTTTTGATATTGTCTCTTATGTAGCCAAAAATTTGGTCCTTTGTTCTTGAAATAACCATAGGGAGACCAAGATATTTCCCTTGCTTCACTTCTGCCATGCCTCCTAGAGCACTGTAGATCTCCTGTTTCTGCTTACATGTCAAATTCTTGCTAAAAATCACAGATGATTTCTCTAGGTTGATCAGTTGACCTGAGGCCTGTTCATAAACGTGTAGAATCTTCATTAGTTCCTCAGCTTGCTACACATCAGCTCTACAAAATATGAGGGAATCATCCGCAAAAAAAAGATGAGTAATGTTTGGACCTTGTCTACTGATCTTCAATCCTTTCAATCTCTTATTTTCTGCTGATCTTTGGAGCAGATTTGAGAAATCTTTAGAGCAAATAAAAAATAGATATGGTGAGAGAAGGTCTCCCTGCCTTATCCCTCTTCCTGGTTTCACAAATCATTTGACTTCTCCATTGCAATTGAAAGAATATGAGACAGTCTCCATGCATCTTGAAACCCATGCATCCAGTTTACCCATTTATCACAGAAACCCATTTTTTGCATTATGGCTCTAAGAAAGTGTCATTCCACTTTATCGTAAGCTTTAGCCATGTCTAACTTGATAGCCATATACCCTTCTTTCCCTTGCCTTTTGTTTTTGAGATATTGCATGTATTCCTGAACAATGATCACATTATCTAAGATTTGTCTATCAGTGATGAAAGCTGATTGATTTTTACTGATGCACTTTTCAAGGACCAGTTTCAGTCTGTTAGCCAAAAATTTTCAGATGATTTTATACAAAACACTACACAGACTGATTGGTCTATAATTTTTCAGGCCTATTAGGTTCAGAATTTTGGGGATGAGTGAGATGATTGTGTGCTTAATAGACTTAAGCATGCAGCCTAACAAGAAGAAGTCTTGTATAGCCTGAATCACATCATTTTTAACCACTTCCCAGATTTTTTGGAAAAACAATGGAGTCATACCATCCATACCAGGGGCATTATCAGGATTCATGGAGAAAACAAGACCTGATTTCCTCCTCATGAACTGGTTTAGTCAAATTGGAATTCATTTCCTCAGTAATAGGCTGAGAAATACCCCTCAGTACCTCTGAGTTATCTTCTTCCCCTTTACTAGTAAACAGGCTCCTATAGAACATGGAAATCTCAGAAATTAGTTCCTCATCATTTTTTTTTCCAAGAACCATCTTCTCTTTGAACATTACAGATCCTGTTCCTGTTTCTCCTACCTCTCACATAGGCATGAAAAAAACTAGTGTTCTTATCTCCCTCTCTTAGCCAGTTTAGTCTAGCTTTTTGACTCCAAAAGGATTCCCCCTCTTTATAAGCCTGTCCTTCTCACTTTTTTGTTCTCCAAGTTAGACCTGTCCAAACTCTATAATCTACCCTTAATGTCATTGATTCTCACTTTGGAATTTGCCTGAAAAGTGTTTTTGCACTTCAAGATTTCAATTCTGCAGTTTTTCACTTTCCTAGTAACTCTGAACATTCTAGTTCCTGGTTCATCCTTGTTCCATGCTTTCTCAATGACTTGCTATATACCTTCCTTTTGAGTTCATCCCTTATCAAAATAAAAACGTTTCTTCTTTTTCCTTTTTTCTGGTTCAGTATCCAGTATTAGCAAGCTGTGGTTAGCGGCAAAGGACTCTATGTGCTGACAGACTACCCCTTCAAACTTCTGTACCCAGTCACAACTGCTCAGGCATCTGTCTAATCTTTGTTTTACTTCCCCTACATTGTCCCAGTGGTTACTCCAGGTCCAAGGGTGGCCCTCAAAACCTATTTCAACTAATCTATTCTCAAAAATAAAGTTCTTAAAAGTCTTAAAGCTCCTTTCCTCTCCCTTAAGACCCTCCCATTTCTCTTCATTTGACACTATATCATTAAATTCTCCTGCTATCACAAATTTCTCCCCCCATAGCTTTCTCCTATCATTCAGCACTTGCCATTGCTATTTTCTGATTTGAGCATCACAGCTTGCATACTCTCCTATAAATCACCACTCATCCTGAGGATCCCTACCCCCTATCTTAGCTTCTATGGTGAAGGCTGTTTGGAGTGTTGTCAAGACTTTGACATCATCTTTCCATAGGAGACACATACCACTTGATCTATTCATAGCCCCAATCACCACACTATTCTCAAACCTTAGCCAGTTTTTAACTCTATCCATATATTTCTCCTTATTTTTGGTTTCACTAAGGAAAATCATATCTAGAGAGAAGAGGTTGTTCACCTCCCTCAAGTGGGGAATTGTCAAGGGGCTCTCCACTCATTGACAATTCCACACCATAAGTCTCATTTGTCCCGGGGAGCCCTATTAGGAAAGGATCCCACCTCCACCTGATTAGGTTCTAAGACCACTATCATCTCAAAAGATTTTGCTTTTTCTAGTTCTGATTTTCACCTCCTTCACACTCCATATCCTCATCCCTCAGGGTTATTTTCCCCTTTCCTACACTTGTCTGATTGCTCACTTGTCTATTCAATTCTCTTAAGGGTCTCTAGTTTTGGTGGGAGAATTCACCTTTCTATTCAAACCTTTTTGAGTGTTTTCCAACTACCTCCTGTACTCTCTCATTATTGTTACAAGTCTCCTGTATCAGCAACCCTCTCTCATGTTCTCCCTCTAATGATCCAGGCTTAGCTGCAATAGGTGCTTCTAAGGTGCTATCCTTCTCCATCTTAGTAGTTTCCTCAACCAATAAAGTCTTGGCTACTTCTGTACCTTTTGTTTCAACCTGTTCAACCTGTGCTCCTTCACCTTGTTTCAGAGGATTTTGTTGTTTTTGAGAGCTACCCTTGTGAACTATGCCCTGAGGGGGGGAACTTGATCAGCTTCAATTCTCATCACATTCAGATCTCTTGCTAGTTCTTGATGATCAGTTTTCTCCCTCTCCAAAGACCTATTCAGCTCCTGTTGATTCTTTTCAAATAGATTTCTCGGTTGTGTTTTTTCAATCAATTCCCCATTTACAAACTTCCAATACCGTTTATCTTTATCCATATCATTTCTTTTTTGCTTTTTCTGTGGGGATCCTTTAAAGTTCCCTGCTCTCAACCAAGGACCATACTAATTGTCTGCATATGCCCCTGCTATTTCTTACTGATTGGTGCATGTCCTCTCCCCATGACCAACAATTCCATAGTTATAACAGAAGTTTGGGCATCTTTCATACTTGAAAGCAACCCATTTCATAGTACCTTCAGTCTTCACTATGGTGCCTCTGAGCAGGGGTTTTGACAAGTCTACTAAGGCAAGCGTTTTCAAATGCCTACCCTCCTTTCCTCCCAGCTGGGGTATTATAACATCCTTGACCTGTTTGAAGACTACCCCTATCTTACGGCCTACTTCTCTAGTAACCCAATGTACAGGTAAATTCCAAACCTGTACCCACAAAGTGGCCATCTTGAAGGCTTCCAAATTTCCTTCTATTCCTTCCTTCCATCTGTTTAGTACCAAAATTTGGTTGTCTATTACCCAAGGGCCTCCTTCCACTATCTTCTCCTTATCATCTGAGTTAGGGATGTTGAACTGAAATAGATTCGGTTCAAGTTCTAAGACAGACAAATTTTTTGGATAACCCTAGGCTATTGTGGCAAAATTTTTCACTCTTGTGAAACTGGCAATCTTTTCTCCCATGACTCTCCCTATTATACTGTCCTTACACTCTCTTACTCCACTTTCCAAGTCCCCTAAGTCCAAAGTTGCTCCTGAAAGTTTGTTCCCAACTAGTAAGAACTTTTGCATCATTTCATTCAGATCCATCTCCATTGATACAAACTGAGGTACTAAGGGGTAAAGTTCACTCTAGAAAGAAAGATAAAAGAGAAGCACACTAAAACCAGAGGAAACTGAACGATCTACGGGGATGCTAAAGGATCAGACTATCGAGCCAGAGAAAGCTCATCATCCTACCTCAGCTGAAAAAAGACCTAGATGAACAAACTAGATAGTAAGCAGTATTATAAGGAGTGAAAAGGATACCTTTGTCACCCAAACAGACAAAAAAACACAAAAGGAAAAGCGCAGGAACCATGCAATACCTCAACCGTCGTAGCAAAGGCAGTGAAAGGAGAGGTGCTATCGAGTTTTACTTGGCTTGCAGCTTCATAAATGCTACTCTCCTTTTCATTCTATTGCACAGATTTTCCGTAATCCATAGAGTCAATGTTTTGAGTTACATTAAACACTTTGGTCTATTTCTAAAACTTCTATCTTTTGCTAGAGTGTAGGAATTGAAGTTTGGAAATTTTGAAAGTTTGAACAGCTGCTGAGACTCCTACCAATGGAGCGAAGGGGCTCTTATCCCAAGAGAGAGAAAAGCTTCTACTAGAGAGAGAGGGACCTCTACTAGAGAGAGGAAGTGCTCTCCAATATGCTCTTACAGATCTTTGCTAAAATGAGTGTAATAGATCTAGTTTTTTTTACGCATGTTGCAAGCGCCAAAATCTGCAATGATTTTAAGTTCCAACAATAATGATGAAATCTATCGAAATAGATTCAAAATTCAAAAAAATTTTAAATCTTACAACCAAATCTGAAATAAATTTAGATCCAACAACAAAATAAGGAAAAAAAAAATCTCCATAGGAATCTGTAAAAGAACAAAAAATTCTCACTAGAAATTTTTAGGAGAAACATAAAACTTTCACTAAGAAAAATTAGGAGAGACTTTATTAGAAAAATAATACAAATGAAATTCATGAAAGGAAGACCATGGAGTAGTTTTGCTCGCTAATAGAAGAAGGCCTTTGAGAAGAGAATAAGAAATAAACAGAAGTTAGAAAAAATGAGAGATAGAGAGAAGAAGTAGCGTGAGAAATTCAATGAAACTTGATCTCCCAAATTTCAAAATAGATTTTGGGCATTAGAAATGATTTGTAGCGTATTTAAGGAAAGGCATGATGTACAAAGATCGTTTTTGGATCAACCAAAAAAGAATTTAAAACCTACGAGGGTAGTCTGGATTTATCCTAATAGCCTTAGGTTGGCCTTAGGTTGATCTTAGAATGAAGATCCTTAAATAAAGTAAGTTCAAGACTTACCAAAATATTAATCTTTAAATATCAGTCTTCCCTTGACTCCAATACCACTTTAACCTTTCATCTTGTCTTCCCCTCCATTCACTATAAGACCTTCAAGGTTATTCGGATCACCAAGCTCAAGTGGATGTCTAAGTGCTATAGTAATGACTAGTTTCCAATGACTATAATTTTTAATGTTAAAAAAGAGTTTCTCCAACTCCGTTCGTACCTAAATTTGTCCAAATCATTGCAAGAGTCTAGAGATTCATTTGCCTATCCATATTTCATCATAATCAAATTAAAATTGTCATATATAGAGCTTATGTGTTGAGTGTTTACCTATTGCATTATAGTTGAGTTTTCAATTATAACATCTCCTTTTGAAATAGAGACCTTGTGAGAGTTTTATCCTACTATTTATATTTGAAAATTGTTGTTGGGTGGGACTAAATTCACAACCCTTAGTCAAAATCCATACACCTACTATAAGGATGACAAAAAAGCCCATAAAATTTGATAGACACTTTTTTCAATACAAAAACACGTCTTTCATGAGATGTTTAAAAAGTCAATAATAATTTTAATTAATTGATATTGTGTGATACTATCATCCTAATAATTGATATGCTAATATTTTCTAAAATTATATTTCAATCAACTTTGAAATACAAAATGTCAAAAAGGTAAAAATATTTTCTTAACACAATTAAAAACAAAATCTCTCATCTCCTCTTACATGGTAAACAGAGATAAAAAATTCTCTCAATAAAATAAAAAGAAAAAATAAATACCATCAGTGTGAATGAAAAAAATGTTAGAAATTTTAAAACTATTCATAATGTGTAAACTTTAAATCCAAATTAGCACAATCTATTTTCACCAATTTTTATTGAAAAAGTCTTTACCAAGCCCCATAAATGCTATAGGCTTTTTGATTAACTTAATTATAAGGATGTGAATTTAGATTGTGAAAGTGTGGATTTAGCCCCACCCATTATTGTTTTCATTTTGTTGTATTTGGAAACTATTGGAAGCGTGAAGTTTCTCAAGAGGAGAACATAATCCAGAACTCAAGAACTAGGTGAAGCTCAATGAAGTTTGGGTTGCCTCAAACTTGTAAGGAAAAATGGCCAAATTCATCCCTAAACTTTTTACTAGTGCTGATTTAGTTCCTAATTTTTATTTCTGGCCAATTTGGTACATGAATATATGTTGTGGTTTTAATTAAGGACTTCTGCGGCGGCACCACCATGTAAAAGCACTCGAGCCTCTAATTGAATAGCTAAATAGGGGTATATTGAGAACTTCAAGTATGGATGTTAATAAAACCAAGTAAATCAGAAAAAAAAAATCATTAGTTTTGGGGTATTTTAATATTTACAACTTTTTTGAGGTATTTTTAAATTTTTTAAAATTTCTTTCCTCTTCCCCTACCTTACCTCTCCCCCGTCCCTACCATTGTCACCACTCTCCTCTCTGCCACCGCCGTGACCCCCTCTTATTCCCTTTCCTCTTTGTCTATTACTCTCCTCCTATCCCCTTACTAATGCTGCATCTCTTGATCTCGTTCCATCAAAAAAAAGTCCAAAAGATAAAAAGCCAAAGTTCCCAAATTAAAGGAAGAAAGAAAAGTTTTCAAAACCAGATCTTGCAAAAAAATCCCAGATTAAAGGAAGAGAGAAAAGCTTTCAAAACCAGATCGTGCAAAAATCCCAGATTAAAGGAAGAAAGAAAAACTTTCCATTCGAACTCACTTTATAGGATAGGATTTCTATTCCAAAACTAGATCTTGCAATTCAAATAATTAAAAAGGTGACTGCATAAGAACATTTTGAAAGACCCAAGTTCAATATTAGAAGTTTTTGGCTTTTCTCTTCAGTTCATTAAACTCTTTCTCAATCTTAATGCATTGGGATTTGTTGTCCATAGTAGACTTCCAATTATCTTTCTCATTGCTAAATTTCCTGAATGTCATCAAGATGTATCATTTTCTCGAGCAATTGTCCTTCAAAAAAAAATTTTACTACTACTGCACTTCGCTTCTCATGTCCCAAGGGAGACGTAGGTGGCAGGCAATGGAGTTGGGTAGTGGAGGAAGAAGATAACCCAAAAATACCAAAATACCCTTGTTTGTTCGGTCTATCAGGAACTAAATCGATGTTCTGTGGTGGCGCCGTCACGAAGGTTCTTAATTAGAGCTGCAATATAAGTTCAAATTGTCCAGAAATAAAAAATTAAGGACTAAATCAGTACTAGGAAAAAGTTTAGGGATGAATTTGGCCATTTTTCCAACTTGTAAATACATTCTCATCTTTGCCGATTGGAAGTGACACGTGGTAGAAGAATTTTGAAAAGTTGAGAGAGTTTTGGGAGTAGATGTAGGTATCTAAGAGGATAGCTAAACTACTATAAATAGGGTTTTCACATTTTTTTTTAATGTCCTACTCTTTAGTTTGAGCATTGAAAAATGAAAATGCTCCTATGTATCGCTATTGTACCTCATTTATAGAGAAATATAAATGAGAATTGGAAGGTCAAACACTATATAAAAAATAATTTTTGCGATCTTGAATAGGAAACTTTAGATGACTGATTTTTTCAAAATTACTTTTTTATATTATAATTCTTATTTTACACTTACTCCTACTGTACACTAAATGGCACCCATTGGTTAAATTTCCAAGAAAGATTGAAAAAGAATGCAAGTAGAGAGATTTGATCCTTTGAATTGGTTTTCAAAGTTACTTGCTTCTTTGAACTAGTTTGATAGAAAAACAATACCACTTTATTGGAGCGCCTGTTTCAACATCGGTTATGTACTTTTATCATTTCACATTATATACTACTTTATTGGAACATCTCTTTCAACATCGTTATGTGCTTTTATTGTTTCACATTGTTTTTCTATTATTTTATTTCTCATCAATTTTATACATACCTTTTAGCATGACTTTATTTTTAAAAATTTTATACTAGATAAATATCTGGTATTAATTATTTTTTATTCTTTCATAGATAAATATGTGATATTAGTTTTATAGTAAAACTTTGAATTGTAGGGTTTAGAATGAGGATGGTGAGAAAGATTTAGGTTGTCTGGTATTAATTATTTTTTGAGGTGTACTGTGGATTTAGGTTTGAGTCGTGTGTGTGTGTTCTGTTTGCTACTGTTGAAAAAAAAAAAAGAGAAAGATTTAGGTTGTCATATTATTATAAGATGTTTCTCTTTTAGGTTAATTCTACTTTCCCTCTTCAACTATAACTAAATTCTTAATTAGTTTCTAAATTTTAAAGTGAGATACTTTATCTTAAAATATAAAATTTGTCCCACTTCAGTCCCTAAATTATAAAATTCCTTCTACTTTAGCTCTCAAAGTATAAAATCTGTCACATTTTAGTCTCTAAAGTATTAAATTTATTTCATTTAAGTATATAATTTATCCTACTCCAGTTAATGATTTTACTTAAGTTGGACAAATTTATATTTTAGAAACTAAAGTGTCATATTTTAAAATTTAGGGACCAAAATAGGAATGCACATATAGTTGGAAAGTACAAAATGGAATTAACCACCTTTTTTTTTTGTTGGCATGAAAATGTGATGGTCTTATATATCTTTATTAATAGTTGCACCATTTTTTATATAGAACTAAGTCTTGATATGTTACAGAATAGATTGAGACCATCTTGTGCTGTACTTGTGTATAAATTATGTATTTAAGAAATCAAGTACACATCATTCTACATTCAAAAAAAAAAAAAAAACAATGGCAGATGCCAAGTTATAGCTTGTTATTTGTTAATTTTAAAGTTTTTTTTAGCATTTTAAAGCCATGGTAGGAAGTCATAGCAAAAGGTTTGTTCACAAATTCAAAACTGTGTGATACTTGGACGTGGTAAAAAACTTTCTCCATGATGAGCCTATGGTCGTATTTTGTTGTAAAAAGTACTTCCAGTGTTCCTCAACCATGTTAAAAAACTACAACAAATATATATATATATATATATATATATATACACATACCAAGGATTAATCTTTCCTACACTAACAGTGTATATATTGTAATCTTAGATGAATGACAACTATTTAGATAAAAAATACCTCAGTCATCTCACATGATAAGGGAAAATATATTTGTGCATAACTAAACTATGAAAATATTATTAAAGGTCTATAGATGGATTTGTTTGGATTGCAGATTAACTGGAAATTTTTTTCAGAATAATAGCACTTTTTGTAATTTGATATTTATGAGATAAAAAGGTGGATGAAAAAAAATAAAGAGATGATTGGGAAACATGTTTAGATGGAATAAAAAATTTTAGAAAAATATAGCAAACCAAATAAATTTTAATAGCATCTCATAGCA